AACAGGAGTGTTCCCACTGATGTCAATGGGACCAGGACTAGGCCCCAAACAGTGAAATGTTATACAATATAGGGGAAATTCCCAGTTCCAGTAGGCATTTACAAACTGTATTTTAAAATGACCAGTATGGGTGAGCTTTTCCAATGCTTAGTGTTGGCCTAACTACTCCCATTCAAGTCAAGGGGAGTTTTGCTGTTGATTTCAGTGGGAGCTGAGTTAAGCCAACACTGAGCACTTTCAAAAATCCCATCACGTTGCTCCATTATAATGCAGCGAAACTCTCTTATGACTAAGAAGGTTTGCTCGTGTAAATTCATTATATCCTAACTGGACACCGTAATTGGATCTGGTACATCATAAGGTACTGAAACAATCTGGGAATTTCATCCTGCTTCACTATACAGAGAGGGTCTGAATCTCATTTTATGTTAAGGTGAGTGGGAATGTAATTAACTCCCCCTTTCAGGCCCCTTAACACTGCCAGGCTGGTGTAAATGGGTCTTAGCATACATGAGAAACAGATCCAGAACTTCTTTATATCTGGAGTCACTATAAAGTAGCTTCAACTCTACTCTGAAGTTCATGTTATCCAGTTATTGCTGATAAAAAGCTTCAAATGATAAAGATCTGGGAGAACACTCCCTCCAGTCTGTCTGACTTGCAAATGTTTAACTCTCTGGGATATCTCTAGGAGGAAGGATGGCCAGTCATAAAAAACACCTGTCAGTGTATGCAAACACCCCAGAGCTCACTATTACAGCCACAGAAGCTCGATAATGAAAATGGGGCTGTTTACCTGCTGAGAATAATAAAGAATAAATAATTCAGTTATGCAGAGGAAGAAAGCAGCCCAGCTTTCATTACTGAGCCATCTTGGATTTAATGGTTTACCCTGAATGCTTACTTGTAACGTCAATATTAGTTATACACCACACTATTCTAACCACTTTATTGCGGGTCCTCCCTCCACTCTTATTAATTCTGAATCACATTCCACTGCTTTCATTGTGGCTACATCTATACTTGGAGCTGGGTGTGATTCCCCGCTCACATAGAAATACTCATGCTAGCTCTCATCAAGTTAGTGAGCTAAAAATAGTAGTATAGCTGCAGTAGCACAAGCAGCAGTGAGTGGCAGCACGCGATAGCTGCTCTGAGTATGTACTGCGGAGTTCAGGTGGGTTGTACTCAGGGTGACTAGCTCCTGCCACCACTTGCCGCTGCCCGTGCTACTGTGCGAGCATGTGTATGTCTACTCGAAGTGGGAATCACACCCCCAGCTCCAAGTGTACCTTTATTACCTTAACTCCTGACCTTTCACCTCACCCGACTCTTATTGTTACCTTTTTCTTTTATGCCATGCCTGAAATTGGGGCTGGATCATGCAAAGTTTCATAAAAGTGCTTAACTGTATGCACTGTGAGTAGTCCCATTGCCTTCAGGGGATCTACTCACAGTGTATAAAGTTAGGCACATGCAAGTCTCTGCAGGACTGGGGCTTTAGTTTGAAAGTTTTGCAAGGTAGAGTCTTGGCATTTCGGGCTACAGATATTGAAGTCAATGGAGCTATGCTGGCAGGGAATTTGATCCTTAATATTCTGTTCACAATAACTGTGTTTACATATTTCTGCACTGTTATGGATTCACCAGTCAGGGCCCTGATATGAAGGGGTCTTCTCTATACAGATCTCCTTTTCCCTTTTGCAGAAGTGAAAGGCTATATGCCACCATGGAACTGACTCCCTTCTTAGGATCCCATGGAGGACTGTTTTGGGGGGCAGAAGTTGGGTTGTTAGGATTCTGGCAATGTAGGAGTGGAGAGTGGGCAGAGTTGGGGAAGGGAGCGGGCTGGATTACTTGGGAGTGGGCAATCTGGGGATGAGGATTACTAGGAAAAGTTAATACAACTGCAGGCTACATAAGTTTTTCCACTGAGCCCCTCTGTACTGGAGAACATCCTCTTAAGGGGAGTCCTCAAGGCAGCACTGGTCAGGGGAGGCCCCAATGGTGTGGCGCCATTGGAAGCATGTTGTCAGGAGATCAGAGAGCAGGCCGGGAGTCCTGGGGCCAGTGCAGAAAATGCAAGGTCTCTACATGAGGCATTGCATGGATCTTGGGGATTCTCTGGGCTCTGGTGAACTGCAGTTCATTCCATGGGGGAGGAAACCCCATCCCTTCCTCTGTGAGGTCCCCTCCCATGAAAATACCCATAGGATGAGATGCACATGGAAATGACAGCAAACAACTTTTTTTCTTTAGCCTTTTCTTCCTAACAATTCGTGCCATACAGGGCCGGCTCCAGGCACCAGCCCTCCAAGCATGTGCTTGGGGCGGCACCTGGAGGGGGGCCGCACTCACCCGGGGAGAGCGGGGCCGCGGCCGGGCTCGCCGCCCTTCCCGTGGTGCTCTGGCCAGTTGGGGAGAGCGGAGCCGCGGCGGGCTCGCCGCCCTCCTTCCCGGCGCTCC